TGGTTGTTTTTTTTACTGGTTTGCTGTCTGTTGGTGCTGGAGTATTTTGCTGCGACTGCGGTTGTTTGTTGTGTGATTTGGATGCTGGTGCTGCTCTTTGATGGAATGGGAGCTAAGCTATACAGATGGGTGCAGTGATCACTGGAAGCTGTGTAAATGGTTGAGGGTGGACCGAGCATGGTTGTTGTTATGAGGGTGTGCTCTGTGATGGTCTAGTAGTCTGATATTGGTGATTATTTTGTTATGATTGATATGGTGTTTGCTATGCCCTGCTAGTGCTCTGCTGTTGATGTGTTTGTTTTGGTTACTAAGCTAGCAGATGCATTGGTTTGCTAAGGTCTGCAAATATAGTTGGTTGATGCTGGTCTGATGCTTAGATCAGATTATGTTATCAAGTGTATTCTGGGCTGTGCATCTGAGTTTTTGCATCTATGAGCTCTGCTGCTGTGTCTTGCCTCTGTTGGGGTTGCTGCTGTGTTTCTGTGGGTAGCTTGTTCTAGTTTGCAGAGTCCTGAAGTTTTGCAGCCTCTGAAATTTGTATTGCTGTGTGTAGGATGATATGTGTGAGAGAATGAACAACAATAGTATTATGTTATGATCTTGGTAGATAATCTGCAAGAATCTGGTGTGCTGCTGGTCTGGGTGAAAAGGAGTGCTGCTAATCTGTGCTGCTGGTCTGGGTGAAAAGGAGTACTCTTGATAGAATTAAAACCTGTTTTGCTCTTGGTGTGCTGCAATTGTCTTTTATTTCTCTATTTAGTCTTCTTGATTGTGATTGTTTTGTGTTTTGCTCTATGGTTCTGCTCTCCTAATTGGTGGCTGCTATTGCTATGGTTGGTTGCTGCTGATCTGTGGAGATGGTTGGTAGTTTGGTTTTTGGTTTGTGTTAGGTCTGGCTCCTATCTAGGTTATTTGCTTTGCTTTGGTACTTCTTTTTTGTCACTGGTCAAAATATTGTACCACAAACATGTGCACTCATTGACACATTGAGCTCTTGCATTTTCTGTAACCCTACCGATTCATCCCAAAGGTATGTTTCATTGAATTCAGTGTAGCATTCCATTTCAGTCTGTTGCATGATATTCTGTTATGTTGAACATGAGTGTACTTCATGTGTATCCTTAACTGGACAGATATCTGAGCTGTACCTAAAAATAATTACTTCATGAGTGTACTTCAGTCAAATCTATTTTGAATAATGACTTTTCAAAAAAAATTATTTTTGATTCTAAAGAAGTACCCAAAAGATCAGTATTCTGTTATGTTGAACATGAGTGTACTTCATGTGTATCCTTAACTGGACAGATATCTGAGCTGTAATCAGTGTATTTAGGACAGTTTTATCTTATGTATTGCAGGTTCTTCTTCATTTTATGTAGTGAAGAAATATGAAATAATGCATTAAAAACTACGACATTCAAAGTATTAAATGGAAACTTTGGTTCTTATTTATCTTAAGATTTTGGTTGTCTTTCATTTATAGGAGACAAAAAAGAACAATGGGGTTCTTGCTAGTCGGTCACAGGTGTGGATGGCCGCATACATGAAAGATGGGACGTCAAATAGTGATTCAGTTAATGAGGTTATGGTATGTGATACTACTTTATCTTTGGACTTTTAATATGATTTATATTTATATTGGAGGCTAATTATTGAATTCAAACTTGCAGACTCAAATGAATGAGTTAACAGAGCACATGGAGGGATCTTCTACTGACCCTGCAGCATTACAGGAGCAAATCTTCACACAAGTTATGGGCCCAGAGCGACTTGGCCGTGTTCGGACGTTTGGATTGGGACCGTCACCCACTGATGTTTTTGGAGGTGGATATAGGCGGTCACAAGAGCATAATCATCTCTTCCAAACTCAAGTTCAGGAACAAGTTCAAGAGCAACTTCAACGGTATCAAATGCAGTTCGAGTCGAAGATGAATGAAGTAATGGAGAAACAAATTCAGGCTATACGCACAGATTTTCAGTCACGAATTCAGTTTTTGGAATCTCAATTGCAAGCTGCAGGCGTGCCCGTTGATTTAGTTGTTGCACCATCAAACCCATTACATAGGCAGCAGGTATTTTATTATTTTTACTAGTTATTACTTTAAATTGCCTAGAGCTAATATACAACTTAAGCCTCTTATTGAATGATAGGTTGTGGATTCACTCAGTAGTCATCCTACTATTCGGCCAATGTCACATCAACAACAATCTCATGCATTTTCATCCCAAGAGGTGAGCAATCATTTAATCAAAAGCTTTTTTGACAAATAACATATCTTATTAATTACAATACTTGCTCTTATTAAATATAGGTTCACCTTTCAAAGAAAGAGAAGAAGAATAAGAAGAAAAAGAAGAGCTAACAAGGTAAAAATGTAGATTTATACTTATTAATCTATCCTCTAAACTTTAAAAATCAGTGCTATGTTTTATTTTTATTATTTTTTATTAAGTATTCATATGTATAACATAATAAATATATTAAACTATGTACTTTGAGCCCCCCCATGTGTCATGAAAATTGTTGCGGATCTTCAATTTGGTGGGGGGTTTGTGGAGGGGGAAAAAAGAAAAGGGAAACAAAATGTGAATAATATTTAGCTTACATGTTATTTACATTTCCCTTCAATTTTCTAGTGTCAGGTTTCTTATTGGTTATATTATACATGATATTGGTGGCTAGTCCGAATTGTTTACACCTGTTGGTTATATCCTCTGTTAATGGTGCTCAGTGCAGTTTATGGCTGTAGAAAATTCTTTATCTTCAGTCAAAATGCTGCTTATCAAATCCCAGCAGTATTACAAAGTGTTCCTAGTTAAGTACCATAATTAGTACCATATGATTTAGCTCAGTAGTTTAGAAGTGCATACTGAGACTATACTTGTGTACGTGTATTTCTGATCACTTTGCTGTAATAATATTCAGTTCTGTCAATCATTCAGTGCATAGAAACTGATATGTAGACAATTGGCCTCATTTGGATCCTTTTTTCTAAATGAATAATTTTGACCTTTTCATCATTAACAAGAAGAGGCTACCAAAAGTAAGTCTGCAGGAAAGGCATGGTACCAGACTATGATCTCCGACAGCGGATAAGTTGTGCTACTTAAAAAATAAATAAATGAATGAGATGTATGAGAGGGTTGGTGAAGTAGAGTAATAGAAGAATGATACTCAAGATTAGAGACAACAGGTATTTGGTATTGAACAGTGTTACATGGACTCTTCCATGCACCCAATGTCCCCATGTCCACCAAATATTGTAAAGGTAAGGGTGTGGGATATGTGTCTAACCCCTACACTCAAATTAAATACTTGGATTCTCTATTTTCTTATGATGTTTTAAAGAAGTAGAAACTTACATTTGATGGTAAAGAAAAATTCTAACCTCTAACATGGGTGGGGGATGGAAATATATTTTGCCTAAGTCTCATTTAATTTCAAATGCATTCTTAAATAATAGGGCTAATTACGCTGACCTCTTTTGATGGTCTGACAATTATTGAGACTTCCCTTGCGGTTTTGAAATTACACTACCCTCGCCTGTTAGAGTTGTCCCTTAGACGGTGTTAATTGTGAAACTAAAATGACTGAAATAAATTTTGAGAAAGATAAGAATGCCCTCATTAACATAGTGCCAACGCCACATACAATTCCATCTTCACAATGCAACCCCTTCTCTCCAAACCTCTTTTTCTGCCATTGTCACCACCCTTATAAAACCCTCTACAACAGTAGGTCCACCACCCAGTGGTTACATCAACCAGGCATCACTACCCCATGAGCTACCACCATCGAATAACCCTTTCCCGCACAAAAAGGAAAGGTGTCGGTACCGAGTCAAGTCAGCTGTGGACCATCTCGTGAGCTTCCACCATCCTACAAGCCCTTGAAATGCATTAATAGAGGTGGGTTTGTGATTCCAGTGGTTATGTAGACATTTGGATTCAAGCACTGGTTTAATAGAGGTGGGTTTGTGATTCCAGTGGTTGTGTAGACATTTGGATTCAAGCACTGGTTTGATATGTTTTTACATAAAAATTTGTTGAAATGCATTTGTTCAATTTTGAGAATAGTCAGAGATTGGGTGGAATTGAGGCTGCTAATCTAGGTTACTTTAGATTCTATTTTCTTTGATTCTTATCTAGGTTACTTTAGATTCTATTTTGTTCAAGAAATTACTTTAGATTCTATTTTCTTTGATTCTTTTCGCACCTCAGTCACTAATCTAGGTTTAGATGTTAGAATTATTGAAAGAATAAACAACAATTTTTAACTCCTTGTCCATGTTTGTTTGTCGGGATGGAATTAGGGGGATGAGGGGGCCGATTAATAATGTCGGTCCCAAATGTTATTTTTTGGGTATGCCATATGATATTCAGTGGATTTGTTATATATTCATGGAATTATTGTATTATGTTTCATTGTAGTGGAATAAAGACTGAGATAAGATTTGGTACATTATTTTTTCCTTTGGATGAAGAAAGGGAGATAATCCAGAGCAGTGGGGATATTAGTTATACATCTGTACTAGGGGCTGGTATTAGTTATATTATGATTTTGTGGGATTGCATGTCTAGCAGGATATCTAATACCCTATATCCAGCCAACTAAATGTGGGAAAGAATGGGACTAGGAGGCAAGGGAAAACATGTGGGCCCCACATGTTTTTTATCCCATTCCCTGTGCCTTTTGTGTCTAAAACAAAGGCCGATTACTGATCAAAGAAAGCCATGCTAGACACCACAATATTAAGACAGCATCACCAAAAAATTACCCATTGGCCTCAATTCTGGAAAGCTGGAATGGCATTCTGTTTCAGGTACCAAATGTACGTTTTTTGGTTTTGTCATTGTACCACTGTCATAATATCAGAATTCCATTGATTATTCTTCAATGTTGCTATGAAGTCAATAAAATAATGAGGTATCCTTGTCTTTCAACTCTTAAGCTTCTTCTTCCTGCTTTGGTTGTCCAGTAGAGATTGTGCTTGTATGGAAGTCCTCTTACATTTGTTAGCCAGACAAACGGCATAATCTCTCTTTGTTTTATGAGATATTCTCCTCCAGTAAGATTTATGTTATTTTCTGACACAAAGCAGTTGAATAATGTGACTTTTAATGTTCAATTTGATGCTTAATTGCTTTAATATTGCCCACCTTTCCCCCACCCCCTGATAGGTTCCAAAACCAAGGGTTTCTAATGATTCTCTTGTCAAAGAATACCACAATGCACGGTTAGAAGCTATAAATGCCAAAGAGAGAGGTGACAAGAAAGGCCAACAACAAGCAAGCCAAATTATTCGCAAGCTCAAGCAAGAGATTTCTGCCCTAGGTTGAACTAATTCCTTTGAGTAATTCTGTTGAGGTTTGGTTATTCAATAGCATTCTTCATGCGGTGTGAATTTGCTGAACAGGACTATCAGATGAAATCTTGGCATCAGGGCATGATAGTTCTTCCTTTAGTGCATCTGACGATGCATTTCATAGCTTCATACCTTCCAAGCACCCTGAAACTCTTGCTTTGTGCAATGAAGAAGGTGACATGGCATCTGTTCTACCTGCAGTTGAATCAAAAGTAAATGGAAAGGGTCTCACATTACTGGACCTTTCACCTGAACAAAGTCCTGTCAGTGTTCCTGCCCCGGCTTTGGAAGAGGAATCTGGGGATGTAGAGCTTGGGAGTTTCTTTTTAGAAGATGTCTTGCCGGGTGACGTTTTGCCTCCTGAAGTTGTGGAATTACAAAAGAAAGAGAAGATGAGAGAATTGGCCAGTGGCAAGAATTTAGAGAAACTAGAAGGCATCTGGAAGAAGGTAAAATCAGCATTGCAATGAATGTGTTGTGATGATACTTAGTGTACTAGAGAAACTTGAAAATGCAATACTTGATTCGTAATAGATTCTGACTTTTATATTTGGTGGTGCATAATAAAATGTTGCTTTTGTGATTGCTTTTTACTTCTACTTCTGTTGTTGAAAACAATTTCATTGTTCAGAGCATGTTATTTGTCAAAAGAAACTTAAAAACAATAAAAAAGAAAAATAGGATCTGGCAATTGCAATTCATATGCTGCAGGAGATAGAATAGTATATAGTGCGTAATTATGTTCGTTCATGTTCTCATAATTCTTTATGTACAAGTTTACAAACCTTTTATTTCTGTTTATTGGAAAGCCCTCATTTAATCTTCAACTTTTTCGATTCATGTTTGGCTTAGTTTTTGTTTTCTTGCCGTGTTTATTTGTGTTACTGTACCGTACAATACCTATTTCTTGTTTTGTGATGTGGTCTATATGGCTACAGGGGGACCCACAAAGGATTCCTAAAGCTGTTCTTCAACAGTTGTGTCAAAAATCAGGCTGGGAAGCACCAAAATATAATAAAGTTCTTGGGAAAGAAAATAATTCTAGTTATGCTATTAGCATACTACGTAAAGCTAGTGGGAGGGGCAAGAGCAGAAAAGCTGGAGGGCTAGTTACTCTTCAGCTTCCTAGTCAGGATGAAACTTCTGAATCTGCTGAGGTACAGATTTGACCTCATTCCTTTACATTCACTGTTTGATATCATTTCTGTTACTAGAATGCACACAATGCATAAAAGAAATAAGAAGGTAATAATCATACTGAAGATATAATTTGCATGAAGTCCAGGATCATATAGGGTCTTTACCTTTTGATGTATTTGCATTCGTTAGATTATCATCTATTTCTCTAAGTGGTAGTCTGGTGTTCTAGGCCTGGTTCGGGCAGCTGTCTTCAAGAAAAGCCCCACTACCTAGGGCTCCTGTCAATTCAAGGTGATAGGAAGGTAGCCTGTGTATGAGATCTAATCTTCAGCTGTATTTGTAGAAAGTGGCTGCCTCTGCCTTGAACCCATTTTCTTGAGCTTGTCTTCTTGACCTTGTATTTTTCCACCTTGCAAAAGCTACTGGTTTTCCCTAATACAATGCATATATTCAGTCCTAAAACGCTTAGTGCTTTAGAAGCTACTAGGGGTACACTTCGTTGACCTAGGCATGATGAAAGTTGTGATGCTTCATCTTTTCATGCATCAATTTGTGAGGTACATGCACCATGTGACCGTATTATGTTTCTTATGCTCAGACTTGTTTGTTGATTTATGTATTTTCTGCTTGTTCTGTTTCTGTAACTTTTGCAATAATGTCATCCAGCTAATCAAAATTTTATGGTCTGACACATAAGCTCTGTATCTCCAGGTTCCACTGCAATTTTGGTTCTTTTAAGAGAAAGTCACAACCATCCATTACTTTTAAACAATTGACATTCTTTGGCAAAAGTTAAAAAATGTCCTGGCAAGTGCCAACAAAATGTCCCTTATAAAGACATCAAAATAGCTTTTTGATTCTTTATTCATTACAGAATGGCTTGTTTACCCCTTGTGGTTCAACATCTCTACAACCATAGACAATAGAGGAGGTCCTTGCCTATTTTTAAAACATCCTGGTCTTCCTGTATTTTTGCCCTTCTTTAATCTCCTACTCTTCTTCCTCTCCTAACACCAAGCTTGGTGGCTTTGGGGATTTCTCTTTTCTTTTTTTTCTTTTTTTTTTTTCTTTGTCACCGGATGCTTGCATGCACAAGGAAGGCTTGCATGCATATAAATATTGAAGACATCTCTCTCTCCCTCTCATTCTTTCCATTATTTTATTTCCTCAAAAACATTCCATTCCCTTTCTCCAATTTCTAAGAGCAAACTTTCTCTAATTTTTATAAGTTCTTCCCTAAATTTTATAAAGGATGGTGGGTTTGGTAGGAACTATGGGTTGTTTGCCCATGGTTTGTTTGTTTGTATTTTTTTTTATTTTTTTTATTTTTTTTATTTTTTTGTGTGGGTTTCTGAAAATTGACGCACTAAGATTTTTAACTAAGGTATTTAGTAAGAATAGTTATTATATTAAATCATAATTAAAATAATTTATAAACAACAAATATTGAACACCCACAAAATTATTATTCTTAATAATGTCTTGTTAGTGATTGATTTGAGTCAATTTAAAACTAACTTTTACACTAATGTATAATTCAGATAGACTGTAGACAAAATTAATTAATAAATTTTCTTTAAAGAATAATTAAAAGATGGGTTTTCACAATTTGCCACCCACAAGTGGGCTTAGAAATGCGGATTTGCCACCAAACAAGGTGGGCTTAAAACAAGATGATTTGCCACTCCAAGTGGGCTTAAAACTCACATTTCGATGAATTGTTCCAATTCAAGCAATGTAGCCTTCATCCACAAGCACTCATGCAGTTTATCAAGTAAGCAAATAGCCTCATGGCAAGCATGCTATCATGGCGGTCACTTACATACATGCAAGGATGCTAAAGCATAAACACTTACAGTGTACTCCAAGCCAAAACAGGAAACTAGTTAGAAATCATGCATGATCCTAGCTATGTTAGATGCCTAATGCAACACATGCAAAAATGTAACTAAGTTGGCTCGGCCATCTAAGATGGCATATGATTGTAACAATTTGATACACGTATTCAAATTGGAATTGAAATACGATGCAGTTTGAATGATGCGCCGAGCCCGGTGCATGCAATACGAATGAATGATGCACGCATACAAAGCATGAGCATGCTAATTGAAACATGCCCTAAACTAACCATCAAAAAGGGGTAAATAAAAGGGAGAAAGACGTGGGGTTGGAAGACATTCACACACACACGCACACTTATTACAACATTTGCTCTCTCGACGAAGGGTCCGAATGAAATGAAAGCTAACTAGCTACGCTAATTAAGCCAACTATTACAAACCAATTAATTAACTAACTCTAGCTAACTAATTATTACAAACCAAATTGAAAATAGCTATTCTAAGCTGATTAGAATATTACAAAGATGAATTAAAATTAGCTAAGCACATTAACAAATCAATTACAGAAACCGACAAAACTAACTAAACAAAGCAGTTAAAATGGCCTTGAGGGGAGGGAGATATGCATACTCTGTTTGCTTCGCCCGGAAATGCATTGCCATGCCATAAGTTGTCTCTGTTTGCACTCACTGTGACTAGGGGTGTGCGCGGTGCAGGTCGGTGCGGTTTGAGAGAAAAATAGAAACCGTATGGCGGGTGGCGGATTGATAAAAGTGTCACTAGAATTTGCCATTTTCCTTATCAAAAACCGGCGGTTCGGTTGGCAAATAATAGCGAATTTGCCTTGGCGGTTCGGGCGGATTGGCGGTTTATAAAAGATATAATTCAAATTACAAAACTTAAATTAAAGAGTAAAAAAAAGACGAGAGATACCGTGATGTTAAGCATCTTGCGAAGCTTTCTTCTGATGCAGCAAGTGTAGCAACAACATGATAGTATCAATGACTATGCCATCAGTTCATTATAAGCATTTGTGGAAACTACAATGATCAAATACAATACATAAAATTAATATCATTCAGGGTTTACAATATATTGAAAATGTTTACTGTTGAAAAATATTTAGATTGAAAAGTGAGCTGATGCAAGTTTGCAACATGACCAGAAAAAAAAAAGATTGAAAAGTGAATTGGAATCCAACTTTATTTTGGATTACTGACATCTTGAATTCTCCTCGAGTAGTAATGTAATACTATATTCTAAGGTATAGAACAACAAGCAAACTTAAGTAAAAAATAATTTTTAGAATCTTATAAAACATGATTTAATAGCGGTGCGGGTCGGTGCGGTTTGGAAGAAAAATAGAAACCAGCGGATTGATAAAAGTGTCACTAGAATTTGCCATTTTTCTTACAAAAAAACGGCGGTTCGATTGACAAATAATAACTAATTTGCCTTGGCGGTGCGGTTCGGTGCGGTTTCAGCGGTTTCGGCGGTATTATGTACACCCCTAACTGTGACCTCAGAGCATCGAACGCACTTTCAGGTTGCATCTGCCCCAAAACAAGAGCATTCTGGACAAATTTGCTGCAAGTGGCTGGCCGGCCACTTTAACTGGTCGGCAGGCTACCTCAACTGGCCGGTCGGCCACTTCAAGTGGTCGGCAGGCTAATGCAAGTGGCCGGCCGGCCACTTCCCTTTCCAGAACCTCAACTTTGCTGCAACAGAGATCAACAAAGGCACAACAATGCATTTACAAGGAAATGTGTGTGCAACTACTCTCCTTATCATTTCTCAAGCTCAAAGGAGCATAGTACTCAACTCTCAAACCACCAATTATGCATCTCAATGCATGATGGCCAAAGAGCCAAGTCGCACAATATTAGTGAATGCACAAACAACACATAAGAGTCTCCGCCTCTATCATGCATGATCAAGAGGGTTGGCGACCAAGAAATGCAACACGTTTCATCAATTTAAATATGAAACGTGCCACATTCCTTGTGTTTGGATTAACGTCCGATCCAAACACAATGCAATGCAAACAAGATGCTTATCTTTTAATGCTAAAGTGGCATACGCAAGATTCTATCATGTAAACAATGCATGAATGGCATGTTTAGAAGCTAAGGCATCAAAGTTGGTTAAATAGTTAGCTCAATTAGCATAGCTAGTTAGCTTTCGTTTTATTCGGACCCTCCATCGAGAGGGCAAATGTTGTAATAAGTATGCGTGAGTGTGTGAATTTCTTCCGACCCCACATCTTTCTCCTTTTTATTTACCAACTTTTGATGGTTAGTTTTAGGGCATGTTTCAATTAGCATACTTATGCTATGCATGTGTGCATCATTCATTCGTATTGCATGCACTGGGCTCGACGCATCATTCAAACTACATTGTATTTCAATTCCTATTTGAATACATGTATCAAATTGTAGCCTTCATATGCCATCTTAGAATAGCCGAGCCTATTTAGCTGCATTTTGCATGCATTGCATTAGGCATCTTAACATAGCTAAGATCATGCATGATTACTAACTAGCTTCTGTTTTGGCTCGGAGTACACTGTGAGTGTTTATGCTTTAGCATCCTTGCATGCGTGTAAGTGGTTGCCATGATATCATGCTTGCCATGAGGCTATTTTCTTAATTGATATAACTGCATGAATGCCTGTGAATGAAGGCTTCATTGCTTGAATTGGAACAATTCATCAGAATGTGAGTTTTAAGCATACTTGAAGTGGCAAATCATCATGTTTTAAGCCCACTTGCGGATGGCAAATCCGTGCTTTAGCCTACTTGCGAGTAACACTTTCAAACTATTTTCTAAAACAAACATGAGATGTTTTGTTCTAAATTGAGTGATTTAGTTTATACTTGTATGCTGTGCGCATCACATAGTAAGTTAGCTAATAAACTGGAATAAGAACACATGTGTTTTCAAAACAACATATCATGATTAGTAGAGGCCGATCCTTTGATCGGGCGAGCGGGGGTGCTCATTTCATGACCTTCCCCCCTCGTACCCAAGTTCCCGAGCCGAGGCAACTTTGGTGATGACGAACACGTGGCCTTTGGCACGAGTCAGGGTTTCCTAAATTTTTTAAAAATAAAATATTTAGGTGGCGACTCTGTAATCTGGCAAAGCAGTCCATGTTTGGCACTTCTTGATTAAAATTGATTTTCCAAAACGATTTGCCGGAT